CGTGGCCAATGTGTAAAAAGCCACGATAGACCGCAATAACCGTGCACTGGCAAACGCCACAGCTGGACCTCAGCCCCGCCAGTCCCCACGCCGGGCATCGCCTGCCATGTCCTGGGCAGACTTCAGGGGCTTCCACCCCCAGCTCTGCCACGGCACGTCCTACCAGCCCTGCCCCAAAGTCAGCGCTCTCTTCCCCTCCCACTGTTCTCAGTAAACCACTACACAGGTGTATTTTCCAGCAAAACCAGGAGACCCCTATGACACAGGCACCTTTCTTTCCCCAAACTCTACCTCCCTAATAAATTTAAAAAACATAAAAAAAATAAAAAGGCAGGCCTGAACTATTTAATTTGGTTTGATATGGACTACAGTTTGTTTTGCAGTCAATTAGTTGATCTGTTCTGGCTGAAATTTTGAAAAAGAAAAATAAATTATCATAGCAGTTCCATTTTGGTTTGCTAGCCATTAAACCCTGCCTCATTTGATTTGATACTGTATTTGTTTGGGATTAAAACAAAGAATTTTATTTTTTTTTAAATCAAGAAAACCTTGCTTTTAACAGAGCAAAATAATCGGCGGGAAAAATCATAGTTTGAAGGTCAGCCTATTCAAATTTCTTCAAATTTTCCCTCCGGTTTCCTCAACAGAGCCCTCACACTCTGCAGCTGCTACTGCCTTCACACAGGCTTGTCCTGGCTGCCTGTGGCCAACCCCCGAGTCGCCTCTAGGCAGAGGGGAGCAAACTCGCTATTTGGCTGAAATCAGAACAAACTGTCCCGGTGCACGTGAGGCTCTGTCTGCTTCCACCGTGGGTCAGCACAAATAAAGCCCTGTTATTAGCTCAGGGATGTCTATGAACAGTTAAAACTTCAGGGTAAATAGAGCCAAAGTCTACTCATTATATCTGTGAAAAAACATTAGGGAAGTACAATAAATCAATCCTGAAGGGTATGTAGAGTTCATGGAAAATAAATTAAATTAAGAACCATTTATAAATTTTTCACTTATAAATAAAAGTAAGCATGAATTACATATTTTTCAAGTAAATAAAAATTCTAGTTACAGAAAGCTGGGTTGTACACACCAGCCATGCCACCAGCCTGATGAGCTGGAATTTTTAAATTCCCACCTCATTTTTGCATTTCTTTGATTTAAGAAGTTCTCAATAGCAATGGAGGCATCATAGTAGATAGGATATCAGAAATGGGAAAAATATTAAAAAGGTTGGCGTTCTGCTCAAAACGGGAATTTGGAGTAACGTTATTCTGGCACTGCTATAAAACTTTCAGGAGTGGCATCCTGACTCATTCAGTTAAATTTAGTACCTTTTATTATCAGCTATGCCACATCAGCCAGCAATGTTTTGTTTCACACTTGAAACTGACTTCTGAATTAACTTTTTTAACTCTTCCATTCAAACAAAGAATCGAACTTTTGTAATTTGACAGAAAAAGAGCAAACAAAGCCCTATTGCCACTGTAAGGCGTGGCCAAGCATATCAGCACAAAACCTCCCTTGACATAAAACTTGTCACCAGCATAAAAGCCTCTGAGATAAGACCCCCACCTGCACCCTCTGCCCTGCAGGCAATGTTCTTCATCGCCTTACAAGCAAGGTGGCACATTTCCCTTTGGTTTAAGCATCAAGAAAATTTGCTCCAAAAGTTGGCAGCGAAGCAATGGCAGCCGCGCCGAGGCGAGGGCGGCGGGCAGGGCGGCTGGGCAGCCCCCACGTACCAGAGCCAGAGCCGGAGGTCGTCATGTCGTAGATGAGATCCTTCAGCGTCTTCCCGGAGTTCACCAGGTTGCACTCAGAGAGGGGCTCCTCCACGTTGGGCTGCTTCACCCTGCCACGGGTGCAGCGCTGGCCCTGGCAGGTGCATGCCGCCAGCACCGCCGCAAGGGAGAGGACGCAGACCGGCACCGCCACTGTCACCGCCAGCACCACAGGTCCCGCGCTGGCTCTGCCGGGAGACTCTGATGCTTTTGGAAGACAACAAGGGAGAGCAGGGTGGAGGGAAAAAGGCGGTAAGTGAAGGGCTGTGGAGCAACAGCGTATTAAGATTTAATGATTTCCCACAGTCGTCCTGACCGGGACTGGCAGCAGCGAGACAGACCACATTTCTGTAAGTTATGGAGTCTCTTCCCCCAACACCTTTTCTGCAGGTAGCTTGGACTCAGGTTAGCACTGTGATCACCACTGAACACCACCATCTCAGAGAGGACGCCCCACCAGCAGTTCCTCAAGGAAACACCAGTGGAGACGTTCAGCAGCACGTGGCTGGTGGCAGCACAGCTGGAGGTAAGGTGCCCTACAGACCATCGCCGCGCCTGCCCCCAGGAACAGCCCCGGGAAAGCACCTCAGGCATGCTGACCCCCCCCCGCAGGGTACTGTCCGGCTTTATCTCCACTTCTCTCTTACTAAACCCACACAGACTTCTCACAGCACAACGTGTCCTGGCCACCAGCTTCTCCAGCTAGTCCTACCCCACCTCTCAGTACCATTCAAGACAGAAAACACCTGAAGAATATTTCCTTGCAAAACATTTCCTTTCAAAAATGCAGCAGGGACCCTACAAAGTACACATTTTTAATCTGTTGCATTGTCAAAATGCCATTTGTCTGCAGTTAGCTGATCCCCCACCTCCCCACTGCAGAAGATCAAGGGATAGGACCAGCAAGCTCACTGCGGGAGCCAGACCGAGACGTAGCCTGGTGCACGGGGCTGCACCAGCATGACCACCACCGCAACAGCCAGCAACTTGCATTTCGCATGCGCTAGGACAGACGGCAGCTCCACACACAGGTAACCTGCATTCAGTGAGAGACACCTTACTGGCTTTACAACCAGTGGGCGCAGTGCCCTTCCCACACTTGAAAGTTTGTGTATAAATTTCTCAGCACACTGTCCCTCCTGAAAACAAATCCCCAGAAAAAACAATTTCCCAACACTTAATGCATATGGGAATACAAAGTTCTAGTAAATGAGGCATTAAAAGGATTTCTAAGACGGAACACTTTTGGAACTTGTGTTCATGAAGCTGTATTTCACAAGGGTCAAGAAATGGGACTGTCCTAGATCATTTTCCATTTTAAAACTATAGGGGTAAAAAACATATCAAGAAGCTATAGGAATACATTATTAAGGTATTTACTTGCACATGCACACACACAAAAATCCCTTAATGCCCCCAAAATTGTAAATAAGCTTAAAAAAGAACAAAAAAAAACACAAAACCAAAACAATCAACCAACACCCTCCCCAAAATAAAACAGAAACACAACCCCAAAAAAAACCTTCAACACTCAGAATCACAAGTACCAAACAGTGGATCTAAAGGCTACAGAAGATTTAAGAATCATGAACTCCACACCATGCAAAGTCACCCCTTAGCCATTCTAGAAAACAAAAAGCCCCTCTCTCCCTTTAGGCAAATGCTAAGCAATGTGTACACTGAAATCTGAATTTTGAGAGTAACTGAGACTCCCAAGTCACTTCAGCGAAGACGCAGCTCAGAAGCAGCAGCCTGATGGCCCTCAGCATTGACTGTTACTTTCCTCCAGTTAATATTACAATAGAAGTACTTCTTCAAAGGACCTTGCCAAGCCACGCACTCCATCATTCCGAAGTGCCAGGAGCAAAGTTAGCTGTGCAAAGTTAACTTGTTCCTTTTTCTTCTCTTCCTTACATTTTAGCACTATGCACTTAAACTAAGTGAGAAAAGAAAATAAAATGTAACAACAGAAGGCCCCATGTCCATTCACAGCGCACAATTCAAACCATTCTAAAAACAAAGTTGTTATGTCTTGCCCACGGGCTTTTCCTTTAACAGATTTCAACAGGACACTCAAGCGGTTATCTGGTAGATTTGTAAAAGGATTTGCAAGCAGGATTCCTCCTTGCAACTGCTGCTTGTTAACCAGTACACCGTGATTTCCTAAGCCGGTTTTAATTACGTTTCCATACGGCAGAGATTTCCCCTGAGGCAGGTATGAAGTGCAGTAGGTACATATCCTCTATCATATGAGCTTTGGTGCTGTCGCTGGGCACCGCGCCTTGCAGAGCTGCTCCTGCCACACGGGACCGCATGGCTGAGACGCTGCGTACGGCTGCGAGGCGCCAGCTTTGTGCATGCTGAAGGCTGCAGAGGAGGACTGCCGCGCTACGCAGCAGGGTACGTAGCTGGTATGATGCGCCAGGGTGAGGAGCTGTCCCCTGGGTGTTTGGCATGCAAACCACAGCACTTCTAAGTGCATCACCCAAATCAATGTCCTCACCTGCAGATCTAAGCAGATTCATTATCTATCGGCAGTTGCTGTTAAAGACAAACATGCACAAGATACTTACTATAAAATGTCAGTTCTTTCCACCAACTGCTGAAAAACAACATAACATGAAATGAACAAAATCTGAAACTTTATTGTTTTTAGGCCAGTGCAAACAGTATCAAAAAGAAAATAATCAGGAAGCTTTGAACAGCAACAACCGAACCAGTGGGAAGAGAGAGACTCAGAAGTGCATCTTCGCAGGCTGGCACGCGAACTCCGTGCCCTGAACCAGAGCAGCAATTCTCCCTTCTGCAAGCAGCAGTGACAAGCAGCCCTGCGGGAAAGTATTTGCTCCTAGCAGTGAGTGATCTTAAGCGCCTGCAGAGCCTGTGGATGCTGCACATGTTGAACATCAACAGGCAGGCAGAGAGCAAGCAGTGGTCCTGGTGGGACATCCTTCACCTGTGCCTGCTGCTCGTGCCTGAGCCCCGCCGTACGCCCACATTGTCTTCTGCTGGAGAGTCGTTGCACTTCATCATCGCACGGTCTGCTGCCAGGTCACAGCAGTCCCTCCTCGCAGCGTACGCTCACTGCTGTCCTGTATCCCCCTCCCAGTCCTTCCAGCTCCTTCCTTCTCTTCCTTCTTTTTTCGCAGCTCCCTCCATTCCAGAGCACCACTCTTTCCAGAAGCAACTTCTTAAAAATCTCCAGGTTTGTTCTCTTTTTCTTTACTTTCAAGCCTGTTTCTTTGCAGTCTGGATGTTACAGGTGGCGCACCTGTACAGGCAAAAAAGAGTAACAGTTACTGTTGGCTTTCTTTTTATTTTAAAATTATATACATACCCATGTATATACATAAAACTTCCCAGGAACTGGGAAGCGGCTTTAGAGACACTTTGAATAGGAGAAAAGCCAAGTTCACTAAGTGCACAATAAATTACTTCGCTTAGCTTTTCTTAGCTGTTCCTGAACCAGTTGCACATCACATTGCTGCAGTAACATCTCACCCTGCATTTAGAGAGACTGCACAGGTCATGATTTCAGACTGGCAGCTAACGGAGTAACTGGGTGATGACAACAAGCACAAAGCATTGAGGCGTGGAGCAAGGCGAGTTGAGAAATGTGCATTTCCACAAGCACTCTTTTCATTGCAGGACATGCTCCCGACTCACGATGAACCTAAAAGAAAGTACCCATTTTTGAAGAGTTTTTAATATTAAAGCCGTATTATTGTACTGGCTATGCCTACACTACCTTGTCCATACATTCTGCAAATCTAGATTCGGTTTATAGATTTGCCAACAGAATTAAGTGAGACAACAATGCGGTTTAGGCTTCTGGGACATGACAATTTGTAACTTGCAGTGCACTGTTTGTACATTGTAAACCACCGAAACAGGTTTTATAGCAGAATTTTAAGGGGCTCATAAAAAATGCTCAGTACGTCTTCAAAAAAAAGCAACAAAACCATTTTTATCAGAAAAAAGGTCTTGAATTTTAACAGAAAAGTGATCTGACACATTTTCACTGAAAACGTATATGAGCACAGTTTGTATCATTAAAGAACTGCGGTGCAGGCTTTGTGAGAACTGCATCAGAACTTAATTTTTAGAGATATTTCCCTCCCATATGGCATTTTGGGAGCCAGGCAAGCAGCGGGACAGGCAGGAAAAAGCGGCAGGTCTAGCAGGGACACAGTGAGCACAGCAGGCCAGCAAGCTCATTTTGACACTCTGGGGCAAGCAGCAGGAGAAACCTTGGCCAACGCAAGAGGATGGAGGAGGGAGCACAGAGACAAAGACACTCATGGCCATTCTGGGGCTGCAGAGCGAGACGTCCGAGCGAAGCAGAAGCAAAATTCAAAGACTCTCTCACATCCACTCAGGAGGGTGACATCCAGCACCAGGAATACAAACAGACGCCAGCTTTATGACTTATGCAGTGACAGTTGTTCAGAATAAGATCAAGTTCAGTGATGCTTACAGGTCTCCTGAGATGCTGCTAAGTTGAGAGCGCTCAAGTGCAGAAGGCAAGTTAGCAGTGAGACTGGAAGCTGAGGTGTCCGGGCCAGTTTGCACAGGGTCTCCACCGAGTTCCTGGGAAATGAAGAGATCCTGACTGTCTAGAGAAGTTTCTTGGAAGGAGTCCACCGGAAACCTCCTTTGTCATCCTTTAGTCTACTGTCTGTACCAAAGACAAAGTGCAGATCAAGGCTGGTGGCAACTACTCAAACCCTTTCCAGTTCTTCATAGAGCACACGCAGGAGACTTGAGAAGTACCAGCGCTGTGATTTCTGCTTTACAGTTGGTTGTAGGCCATCTTCAATCCTGACCCCTTGCAGCACCATGTCCTGCAGCCAGCACCGCAGCCGTGCCCATTTCTGGGCTTGCACACCATGACCCCTTGGGGATCCCTGGGGCTTCCCACAGCACAAACCACACACAGAAGGAGTGACAAACAGCACAAGTGCAAAATACATGACACGCAAGGTACAAACTGTAATTAATGGCGACATCACCAAATAGGTGTGGTAACGTTTACAAGCAGTTGTGCAATGTTAAACTCCCTGGGAAATAAGAAAATCCTTCATGACTACCTAAAAGCATCAAATCAACACCATTAATCATAACATTTTGCAATCTGATTTCAAATGTACTATTCAATGACTTACTAATCAAGAATAGAAGCTGAAGACATGTTGCCATGTGTGAAACAAAAATAGCACATCTGGTAATATTTAGCAATTTCACAATATGGTATAGTTATATTCCAAGTTGTGTAAACAAAAGAGTACTTTTAGGCAACAAAAAGAGGAAGGATTTTTTACCCTCCAATGGAAGAGACATTCTCACACACATTTGCCTTGCTTTTGACATATAACGGGCACCTTAAGACTTCTAAAAGCCCTAAACTATGCACATTTAAGTTCCTAAGCTACTCGGGGAAAAAAATTACGTATTCTTTCCAATGTAGTAAGAAAATATATTGCATCTAATGGGGGGCTCTAGTCAGACATACAGAATACTTTTAAACAATTTCAAAAGTACACAATTTGGACTAGAGTCTAAAATTAAGTTTTTCCAGCGTTCACCATGACTACAGACCCCATCACCCCTTTCAGGACATTCAGAAATCAGCTGGAAAAGGTCTGCTTAAGGATCCAGAAGTTCAAGCAAACCCATCAGGGATACAGCTACGAGATAAACAGATGCATTATCGGAATTGCTATTTCCCCCCCTCGCCTGTACCCAGCCCTGCTTTCTCTTTGCATGGCAGTATTCTTACCAATCCCTCCAGAGCCAAGATGGACAAAAGCATGTGAACTATTTGCAGAACGAGACATCCACAGAGCAGCACTGAACTGCACCGACACGAAGAGTAGACAGGTTTAGTGCGTCTCATGCAGCTATTTCAGTCTCTGAGCAGCTCTGGCCACAACCCAAGCTGACAGCCCATGTTCTGTGTCACAGACAGCTAACCTCCTAACAGCCAGAAAGAGAACGTCCGTAATTTAGAGGCTGATGTGTTCAGTCCAGCTGTTACTGGACTGAAGCACTTCTCACACTGGCCTACACAGGTCCCAGCGATCAAATCTTCTCCAGTGCACCCTGACCAGGCCCACCCCTGGAAGGCTGGAAGGCACTAGATCCAGATGGAAGTTGGTCACAAGCAGCTCTTCCTCCCTACTTCTTTTTTCTGAGTCCTGACCTCCATCCGAGGCTGTCCGTGCCACAGCAGGCAAGCTCATCTTTTTCATTAAAAAGCCAAACCAGAAAACAGTCAGCTAAATGAAGTTTCTGTTACCGTTTTGCAGCAGAGTAGTAACACGAACTGTTAGATGTTGGCTGCTGAACTCTAGCAGTGGCGTTCAGAGACCATCGGTTAAGAGGAAACAAAGCGGCCACACAGAAGAGAGAAAAAAAATACCAAAATATTTCCCCTCTTCTTTTTTTGCTCCATTCCCCATCCTCCCTGGTTTTATCCATCACTAACATTTTAGGAGAGTTAGTGAGAATTGTGGTTTGCCTCTTCACCCACTGTCCGGACCTTCCTTCTAACTCTATTCTCGGACCGAGTCCATGCTGGGAAAACAAAGTCAGACCTTTTCACCCTGTTCAATAACAGACGAGGAACGCCAAAAGTAAAAGAGAGGGAAAGCCAGAGCCTTGCCCTGAACCGCACCCTGCAGCACAGCCTGCGCATCTCTCTGCCCTTCAGGACCTGGGGAAGCTCTCAAGGTCCATAAACAATTAGAAGAGACTTCCCTTACAATTTATATTCAAACACTGGGTTTTATTCAGAAAGCTATTAGCTGAAGGCTGATTTTTCTCATTTTCTGGATTAATATGTACCTTATAAAACTTCTGGTACAGTAGTGTCTGACTTCTTTAATACTAACATATCCATGTATACAATTCTCCTAAAAGGGCTTTAACGTCTTTAGGCATTTTCAAACAGGTAAATGAACAGTAATTATTTGTCCATGCAAAACCTACACACGATATTAAAAAAAAAAAAAACCAAAATATGAGAATCTTGCCCAACAATTAGTCTAACCGGTACCATCCATCTCTCTTGGCCATACGTATATACTCAAGGGATTTTTGTCTTAGGAATTCTATTATATTTCCCTTTCTTTCATCCCAGTGTGTGCCACTGTAGGTGATACGAGGGCCATTTGTGCCTTTGTCCAGTTTGGGCAATAGGAATAAAGAAGAGAGCTGGAAATTACTTATTATACAGTTTGTTAATCCTACTATTAGCTTAATCTTGTTCCATAAAGCCTCCTTTCTCCTCTGACTCATTTTCCATTATGCAAATACAGAACAGAAATCATACGCTTTTTATCTCAAGTTCTGGAGATGCTGCCGTGCCAGGTCACCCAAAACAGAGCAGAGAGGAGACCGTTCTTGCTGTGTGCTGCCTTTTGCTGGAATGACAGAGGGACTTTTCAAGTGAAAACGCTAAAACCAGAGAATTCTTTGCTGTGCTGAAGTTTCCAACCAACTCACGGACGTGTGGCTGTACACACTGAACACATCCTCATGTTTCTTCTCAGAGAGGCCGACATTTTCTTTAGCCAGCCTCTGAAAGCAGCCTGGTCAGAAAGCCCAGAATCCTGTGACAAATTTGCAAACCCACCTGCACCCATCCAGCCTCAATTTTCAGCGTCTGTAAAGATGGAGACTTAATATCCAGCGTCACTAGGTGTTTCGAGATCAAGAGGTTAGAATGAGTAGCAGCATGAACTTTTCTCCACACATCTATAGACATGCAGACAAAGACACCAGAGCCCAAGAAAGTCCTGTTAACTATATCTGGTAATAAATGTAAAGCGCCTGAGCCTTCAGGCTCTGGTTCAACAGCTGCTGAGTCACTGCCTCCACCTAAGGAGGTAATTGAAGTCAACATCAATTTCGCTGCTTTGGAGAAGGGATGGGAAACAAGTTCCCCAGCCTGTATTTACTCTTCCTGGGGCCAAACACCACTCTCCACAATAACCGAATGTAAGCATCAGGTTATAAGAAGCTCCAGCATTCTGCTCCAGGGCTGCAGGTAAAGGTCCACCATCTATGAACAGGCTTGTGAGTGGGGTAAATCCCACTCACAAGTGGGGTGGGGAGAGAGATCACAAGCACTGTCTCCCAGATCTGAAACATGCCCTGAAAATCCTGTGAGACACAAGTCTACAACAGGAAGAAGTCTTCTAGATCTATTAGCAGCTCCTCAAAACAGTCTGTTACATGCTGAGGTGCACAGAGGCAATTTCTCATACAGAGAGAGATTCACAGAAAGGTCCGTCGAGGAAGAGGCACGCAGGTCGTTTTCTGCAGCCCTGTTACGACATCCCACTGACAGGGGAAGGTCACCTCAAGTCACCCGCTGGGGCAGAAAGTATCCCAGTTAAAATAGTAGAAACCTGGAAATAAAGTCAGGGTAACCCAGAAAAGCCCTAATTACTGCAAACTAATCCTGCGCTTTGAAACTTAGCACCTGTTAATGCAAAATACTGTAATGAAATCCCTGCCAACAATGAGTATATAAAAAGCAGGTATCCAGGTTGAATCTGTCCTTAGAAATGTATATTTTCATACATTGCAAAAAAACCCCAAACCACAAAAACCCAACAACTCAAAACAAGAACAACCTCCCCTCATGCACGGCACAGTAACAAGAGCTCTGCTGCTGACTGAGGCACGCAATGCCATCTACAGTTTTACTACAGAAATTCATGCACGGGCAATCAAAAAAACCCAAACTGCTTCCTGCTCTCCGAGATCCTCATGCTGCAAGTCACACTATTGTTTTCCAGTCACTCTTCATACATTTACAGCGTAAGCCCTTGGTAATTAACACACAGTCGAGCCAAAGCAGGTCAGCATGAAGAAGAGCTGAGGGACGGGCTTGTGTCCCCAGCTAAGCGCAGCTGCAGTAACAGGGAAGAGCCTGCAGAAGCTCCTGCCTCATCTGGCAGGGATGTGCACCACACTGGACCTTCTCAAGGCTTCTCCTCCTCTGTGAGATTCACTCCTGCCTAAAGGCAAGCTTTTCATATCCACGTGCTCTACTTTTAAACTTTTAAACTAGAATCTGCATGATGGGGGGGGAAGAGAGAGAACTTCCATATCTAGATGTCTGTACCAAGTGTCAAACTGCATGTATTATTACTCTTTAAAAGAGAGGGTCGTGGGAGGTGGGCTGGCTTAAATAAGTACCTTGACAAAGCAGGTGTATTTCAAGACCAGAGAGCCTGTGTGCCAAGTTAGGGACTAATAAACAGACCCAGTGGCTTAGTTACCCACCACGGCTGGCGAGGGACAACCAACCAACACGAGACAAGCCGTATAATGGTACACAGTGACATGCCGGAGGAAGAGGTGGCTTTACACACGGACCTCTGGGCCAAGCAATCCTACCTGGGGCCTTGCACCAGCACAGTTCAAGCGCAGCAAGTCCCAGCTGTGCGAGTCCTGGCGTGGCCTGTACTCAGTAGCGGAAACAAAATCTTTTACAATGTCAGTAAGATAACGGACTAATTACTAAACCTAGAACTGCCTCCATGTTTTG